CTTCTTCTTCTAGTTCGGCTTCATCTTCTCTTTTATACACATACATACATACATACATACATACTTTATTATCTTTCCCCATAAGGGCTTTTCGAAGACAATATATTACAATTAAAAAATCAGCTAAATATCTAATTACTAATACATAAAATATAATTATTATTATTAAGAAAAAACATATATTACAATATCTTACAGGGCCCAGCTGTTCAAAGCCCGATCACCGCCAATCCCGGGTTAACTCTTAAACCTATAGAGTCAATCCTGGATTAGTGCCAATCCAGCCCCGAACAACCCGGCCCAGTAAAACAATAGTTATCTATAAATAATGAAGAAAGTATGAACACACGATACACGATAACTTCTGGTTCTAACTCTTCAGGATTGACAAAGCGAGCGTCCAAAGGACTTTCCATCATATTTGAAAAGGTATCAAAGATTTAAAAAAAGTCTGTTTAGATTACTCTTTTTACGATAACGCGTTTAAAACATCAAATAAACTTCAGATAATTTAACAAGAAATGTATAGTCAAAACGACGCTAACATAAAGGTGTTGAGTAAATGACGTCACAGCGTAAAACCGCTGTACATAATAACTCGTTGGCCGTGAGTCAAAGAAATTAATGGCGAACGAAAATAAATCGTAAAGTTTTGGCCCTTTCCTTTCGAATATCAGAAAGATATTTCAGTTAGTGGTTCTTAATGTGTTCAAGATTATTTCAGCAAAGTTCCAGCTCGAATGAAAGAGTTTTAATTTTGGAGCGATTTTCGTCCAAGTGGCCCTTTAAAGTAGTCGTGACTTTGATGATAACGATGTTTTAAAATGACTTGGAAAAAATAATATTTGGAAAATCAATCATTTGTTTTTCTAGTGACTCTACTAAAATTTTTTGATTACTTATCTCTTTAAAAGAGGAATAAAATTTGATGCTATGATCAATTTTCATAAAATGACCCTTATCGTCAAACCTGTTTACACATTAAATCAATCCTCTGTCGAGATAAGTTACTAGGCACGTTTCATGAACGAATTCGCTAATGCCATATTCTTTACAACACATTAAATTATATTTTTCTTCAAGTCTTTTGTTATTCACTGAGCGTTGGTGCTTGCATATGCCACATTTTTTTCCATTTATCTAAAAAAAAATTGGGTTGCAAAATATCAAATCAGAAATGTGATATTTCATTAGCAAGATAAAAGGCTCATAAACATTTAAACGGCTATGACGAATTCGTTCAAGAAATTGAGCTGTAACAGGGGCATAATACTTTAATGAAAAAGTTTGCCTGCAACGAGGACATAGTTTTGGGTTTGTTTGACCTAGCATCATACGTCTCTTGATTATCGTCCAGACAAATAAAACACGTCTAAAAAACAACAACGAAAGATAATTCAAGGAATAGTTATWACCCGAGTTTCAAAATCATGAGGAACAACAGCTATTAAGGATTGCCTATCCAATCGGATTTTGGATTCAATTTTTTCAAGATCTACTACGGGTCCTCTTAGAATTGTTCGTAATCGATGTTTTGGTCTACCGAGGGGTTCTATTACGATTTCGTTCTCTAATAATGAGATTTGTATAAGATTATATATTTTGGTGAATATTTGATGCATATGAAGATTGCAGATTAGAGCTGTGATCTTGCTCTTAGTGTAGTTGTTAAGCTAAAGTAGAAAAATGGACGGAAATCAATAAACAATCAAATAAAAAACCCATTGTCAATCAGTAACCATCGTAAATGTAGGTTAAATCTAAGAAAAATTCATCTCTCTCCGAATCAATCAAACAATTTGCTTCATCTAAAGCATGTTGTAAATCTATCATATAATCCTGGCCATCAATATCTTTCCCCAATATTGTTTTTCTCATAAGTTCTATATTTTTAAATCCTTTTTCGGAAATCTTATAACATTTATTTATAGTTTCCAAAAGTGCATCCATTTTCATAACACTACCGCTAAACGCCCTTTTCATCTTTTCAACGGATGAATCAATAGTTTTAACCTGAATAAAAGGAAAAGATAAAACGTCTTACTTTTGTTCCTCAACTTTTTGAAAATTTGATCAGGATGGAAGCCCATCCAATTTTTTTAGCATTTCCTTAATTGCCATTTTATACTTTTTGTTTTGTTTTACCATTTTAGTTTTNTTTTAACCTGAATAAAAGGAAAAGATAAAACGTCTTACTTTTGTTCCTCAACTTTTTAAAAATTTGATCAGGATGGAAGCTCATCCAATTTTTTTTAGCATTTCCTTAATTGCCATTTTATACTTTTTGTTTTCCTTTACCATTTTAGTTTTATAATAATGAACGAAAAAAGAGACCGGTAAATAGATAAATTGGCATCTTGGTAGTAAACGATCTTCCGAAAAAGTTTCTAATACAAAACTTGGAAGGACCTTTATCATTTGTCGACAAACAGGACAGCTACGTCCTGCTACGCTTTTGGTATTTTCTACATAATATCTTAGTAGGCAGGTTCCATGGATTCTTAAGGAACAACACGAAAATTCTACCCAATGTTTTTTAACATTGGTAGGATGTTTGATATATCTTCTGTTTAAAGATAATAGGCAAATATTGCATACCAAATCTTCCAGATCTTTTTTGCTTTCTTCATCTTCCTCTCCTTCCTCTTCCGAATCTTCATCGAGATCGATACGGATTCTTTTTCTAGCAGGCTGCTCATCCTTTTTACTCGTTCCAGCATCGCCAGTACTCGTTCCTGCGGCCTGATCGTTCGTTAGTCCTCCAATCAGTGAYGGCGAGTTAGGGGCCACGTCAGGGGATTCGGGAACCACCATCACATCTAATAAAAGCAACAAAAAGACAAGTATAAGTATGCATTTTGTTGGAGGAAAAAACCAGTGCAAGTATACTTACCAATATTGGATGAAGATTGATCAACAATTTCCTGGTTGGAAGCCATCGTTGAATTAGATTTATAGTAAAGAGTACAACGGGGAGATTAAATTCAATAATAATAATAATGTGGTAGCACGGAATAGTTACAAAATAACTAATAAACTGGTGGCCCTCTATCTATAAAACTAATATAAATAAAACATACAATAAATATAAAAACTAATATATATACATGCACATTCAATGAAACGATTGTCAAAAAAAATGATTTGGTGAACAAAATTGGTGCTTCGGGTGCCCATAYTTATAATGAAATCCACTTTAAAAGAATAAACAGCTGATTAATCAATTTTTTCTTTGAACTCAAAAGAACTAAAAAAGACATGAAAAGAAAATTTTAAGGGAAGAAAAAAGGTTTTTGGAACATAAGACATCTGTGCGGTGRTGTTTGCTCACTAGAAGAAATAAAATCTAAAACTTATTAGTATGTTATACAATTTTTTTTTCCGACAAAGAAATGAATGGAAAAACGTAGGACAGAAAAGAATAAATTGAGGTTTTAGAACATATGACTTCTGTGTACGTTCACTA